GTCGGCACCTGCGAGTCGGGCTGCCCGGAGGGCCAGTACCGCCAGGGCACGGACTGCCTGCCCTGCGACGCGGCCTGCGCCACGTGCAACGGCCCGACCGACAAGGACTGCTGGCGGTGTGCCTCCGGTGTCCTGCAGGGCGATGATTGTGTGCAGGCCTGCGCGGCCAGGCATGTGGCCGTGGATAATCACTGCCTGCCGTGCCACGCGTCCTGCGACCAGTGCACCGGGGTCCGATCGACCGAGTGCACCGCCTGCCCCGGGGGACTGCTGGCCCTGCCGGCCGGGCAGTCGCCCACGCGCTGCGTGCCGGCCTGCCCGGCCGGGTACCACACCTCGGCGGCCGGGTGCGCCCCCTGCGGCGCGCACTGCGCCAGCTGCCCGGAGTCGAACGCCACGTGCGCCCTGTGCGAGCCGGGCTGGCTGCTGGTTGTCCCGCCGGCGGCCGGGGAGCCGCACTGCGCCCCGGGGCCGGCCTGCCCGGAGGGGCACTTCCCCGACGGCCACACCTGCCGGCCGTGCGACGGGACCTGCGCCGCCTGCGCCGGGCCCGAGGCCGACCAGTGCACCGCCTGCCCCCCCGGGCCCGGGGGCCTGCTCCACAACAATGCCTGTGTCGACCGGTGCCCGGGGCGCAGCGCGCACGACGGGTCCCGGTGCGTGCCCTGCCACGGGAGCTGCGCCGCGTGCGCCGGCCCGGGCTCGACCGCGTGCACGGCCTGCTCCGGGGCGCGCCTGCTCACCGGCTCCGGGCAGTGCCTCTTCGCCTGCCCGGAGGGGACCTTCCCTCGGGCCGGCGTCTGCCAGGCATGCGAGGCCATGTGCGCCACGTGCACCGGCCCCGGGGCGGCCGGGTGCACCGGGTGCCGGGCGCCGGACCTGCTCGGCCCGGCCGAGGCCCCGGGCTGCGTGGCGGCCTGCCCGGCCGGGTTCCTGGCCGACTGGCCGGCCGGCCGGTGCGTCGCCTGCCCGGCCGGGTGCGCCGAGTGCGTGGCCACCGCCGCCGGGGCCCGGTGCACGGCCTGCCAGCCGGGGCTCCTGCTGTCCGAGGGGGCGGCCCGGTGCGGGGCCGCCTGCCCGGCCGGCGAGTTCGCCCCGGCCGGGGCCACCGCCTGCCAGCCCTGCGACCGGACCTGCTCCACGTGCGCCGGCTCGGCCACCGGCTGCACCTCCTGCCCCCCGGCCATGGGGCTGTGGCTGGATCCGCGGGGGGCCGGGGCCCCGGGCGCCGGGCGCTGCGTGGCCTCCTGCCCGGCCGACCGGACCCTGGCCGTGGACCTGTCGGACGCCGGGGCCCCGGCCCCGGCCCGGGTGTGCCTCCCCTGCGCCGACACCTGCAGCCAGTGCGCCGGCACCATGGGCCCCGAGGGGGCCCCTTGCGTCCTGCGGCCGGACGGCCAGCTGGCCTGCCAGGTGGCCCCCGGCTGCCGGGTGTGCGCCGAGCCGCACATCCGCCTGCCGGACCCCCACGGCGGGCCCGGGGTCCGGTGCGTCGCCGACTGCCCGGCCGGCTACCTGGCCGACTGGACCGGGGCCCATGTCACCGACGGCAGCGGGCCCACCTGCGTGCCCTGCGCGCCCGGGTGCCACGCCTGCAGCGGCCCCTCGCCCGAGCACTGCCTGGATGTCCCGGCTCGGGCCCCCGATCGCCGCCTCGGTACGTGCCTCGCTGTGGGCATCGCCTGGCCGCCCCCCCCCCCCCCC